TCTGAAATGGTAAGAAGAAAATCAGGCTGCACCTGGAATCTGGACTTAGTTTTAAGTTCTTTCAAAGCAATGCAGATATGGAATATTTAGACAAACCACAATTCTGGAAAGTTTTTTAAGTGGAAAATTTTGGTTCTAAGCTTTTGGAGAGGATAGTTTGGAAACATCACACCACAGTTATGCCTCAATCTAAATAATAAAATGTGTAAAATAGTTTTTCTATATATTATTTTCCCCAATTCAAAAGATTTTATCCTAGTCCCAGATTTTTTCATAAAAATTATAATTGTTTGATAGTATAATCAGTCAAAAAACCAAAATATGAGGTTTACATATTGAAAAGGAGGTGAAGGGCTGGGCACGGTGACTCATGCCTGTAATCCCAGCGCTTTGGGAGGCTGAGGTGAGTGGATCACCAGGTCAAGAGCTAGAGACCATCCTGGCCAACATGGTGAAACCCGTCTCTACTAAAAATACAAAAATTAGCTGGGTGTGGTGGCGTGTGCTTGTCGTCCTAGCTACTCAGGAGGCTGAGGTAGGAGAATTGCCTGAACCCAGGAGGCAGAGGTTGCTGTGAGCTGAGATCGAGCCACTGCACTCCAGCCTTGTGACAAAGTGAGACTCCACCTCAAAAAAAGAAAAGAAAAGAAGGAAAGGAAGTGGTAAAATTGTCATTGTTTGCAAATGGCATTATCATATGTATCTGGGAAGCCTAAGGGAATCAACTTAAAAGTTATTAGAAATAATAAGAGTATTCACTAAGGCAGTCATTGCAAACAATACATAAAAATTAATAGTATTCTTATAAAAATTAATAGTATTCTTACATTCCAACCACAACCAGTTCAAAATATCACAGGTAAATTATTTTGATCACAAATCAAAACAACAATAACAACAAACCCTAATAGGAAGTAAGCAGGACCTAGATGAATAAAAATATAAAACTTAATAGAGAACATAAAAGGATTGATCTCATGTCAAATTGTAATCCCCTGTGTTGGAGGAGGGACCTGGTGGGAAGTGACTAGATTATGGGGATGGACATCTTGCTTGCTGTTCTTGTGATAGTGAGGGAGTTCTCATGAGATCTGGTTATTTAGAAGTGTGTAGCACCAACAGAAATTACAACAAAAGCCAAAATTGGCAAATGAGGTCTAATTAAACTAAAGCACTTCTGCACAGCAAAAAAATCTATCATCAGAGTTAATAGGCAATCTACAGAATGGAAGAAAATTTTTGCAATCTACCCATCTGACAAAGGTCTAATATCCACAATGTACAAGGAACTTAAACAATTTATAAAAAAAAAACAACCCATCAAAAACTGGGCAAAGGATATGAACAGACACTTCTCAAAAGAAGACATTTATGGGGGCAAAAAACATGAAAAATGGCTCATCATCCCTAGTCATTAGAGAAATGCAAATCAAAACCACAATGAGATACCATGTCATGCCAGTTAGAATGGTGATTATTAATCATGAAACAACAGATGCTGGTGAGGCTGTGGAAAAATAGGAATGTTTTATACAGTTGGTGGGAGTATAAATTAGTTCAACCATTGTGGAAGACAGTGTGGTGATTCCTTAAGGATCTCAACCAGAAATACCATTTTACCTAGCAATCCTATTACTGGGTATGTATCTAAAGGATTATAGATCATTCTACTATAATGACACATGTACACATATGTTTACTCCATCACTATTTACAATAGCAAAGTCTTGGAACCAGCCCACATGCCCATCAATGATAGATTGGATGAAGAAAATGTGGCACATATACACCATGGAATACTATGTAGCCATAAAAAAGAACGAGTTCATGTCTTTTGCAGGGACATGAATGAAGCTGGAAGCCTTCATTCTCAGCAAACTAACACAGGAACAGAAAACCAAACATCGCATGTTCTCACTCGTAAGTGGGAGTTGAACAGTGAGAACACATGGACACTGGGAGGAGAACATCACACACCGGGGCCTGTGGAAGGTAAGGGGGAAGGGGAAGGAGAGCTTTAGGACACATACCTAATGCATGTGAGGCTTAAAACCTAGATGGCAGTTTGATAAGTGCAGCACACCACCGTAGCACATGTATACCTATGCAACAAACCTGTACATGTATTACAGAACTTAAAGTAAATTAAAAACATAAATGAATAAAAAATATAAGAAAAGTGTGTAGCTGCTCTGCCTTCACTCTCTTCTCATGCTCCAGCCATGTAAGGCATTGCCTTGCTTCCGTTTCACCTTCTACCATGATTGTAAGTTTTCTAAGGTTTCCCTAGCTATGCTTCCTGTACAGCCTGCAGAACCATCAGCTAATTAAACCTCTTTTATTTATAAATAAAATAAAAGTATTGATCAGAAAATTCCATTTTATATCCTTCCTTTCTTTCCTTCCTTCCTTTTCTTTTTTTCTTCTTTCTTTCTTTTTGAGACAGAGTTTTGCTCTTCTTGCCCAGGCTGGAATGCAATGGCATGATCTTGGCTCAGTGCGACCTTGGCACAACATGATCTTGGCTCACCATAACCTCCTGGGTACAAGCAATTCTCCTGCCTCAGCCTCCACAGTAGCTGGGATTACAGGCATGTGCCACCACACCTGGCTAATTTTGTGTTTTTAGTAGAGACAGGGTTTTTCTATGTTGGTCAGGCTGGTCTTGTACTCCCAACCTCAGGTAATCCGCCTGCCTCAGCCTCCCAAAGTGCTGCGATTACAGGCTTGAGCTACTAGCCTGGCTTATATCCATTTTTTCTCTATTAATCTATGGATTCAATGAAATCCCAACAAAAACTATAATTAAATTTTTTTGGTAACTTGACTTGATTTTTAGTCCAACTGCAAGAATAGTTATGTAAAATTGACTCCACAAAAATTTAAATAGTGGTAAGGGATGATTTGGCTATGGCAGCCAGTCTCCAGCATGGCCCCAAATGATCTCTGCCTCTTGGTTTTCACACCATGGAGTATCCCTCCTATTTTGTACCAGAGTAGAGTTCCCAGATTAAATATAAGATGCCCAGTTAAATATTAAATTTTAGTTAAACAATGTATAGTGTTTTGGTATGTCTCAAATATGTTTATATGCATGAAATGTACTAAATAATTCATTGCTTATTTGAAAATCAAATTTAACTGGGAATACACTGTTATTTGTTAAATCTGGGAACTTTATTAAACCAGGGTTGGTCTGTGTGACCAATAGCATAAGATAGAAGTAATGGAACATCACTTCTGGGATTAGGTTAAAAAAGACTGTGGTTTTTATCTTGGGCATGTGCACTCTCTCTCTCTCCCAGTCTCAGTGTCTCTCTTTGTCCTCTCACTCTGGAGGAAGCAAGCTGCCATGTTGTGAGCAGCCCTTGTGGAGAAGTCTGCAAGGCAAGGAGCTGAAACCTCTGGCCAACATCAAACAAGGAACTTATGCCTGCCAACAACAACAGGAGTGAGGTTAGTAGTGAATCTTTCAGCCCCAGTCAAACCTTGAGATGCCTGCAGCCCCTACCAACACCTTAACCGCAACCCCATAAGAACTCCTGAGCTGGGGCCACCCAGCTAATAAGCTGCTCCTAGATTCCTGGCCCTCAAAAATTATGTGACATAATAAATGTTGGTTTAAGATGCTGAATTTGGGAGGGTAATTTGTTATGCACTAATAGATAACCAATACACTGACCTAATTAGATATTTAATCACAAAGTTACAATGATTAAAACAGTTTGATATATTATGCAGAAATCTATACTTCAAGGGAACAGCATTGAGAGTCTAAAAATAGAATGCCCATATGAGGGTTTTGTATATGACTCAGGCATCATTTTAAATCAGTGTGGAAAAGATTAGTAAATAAATGACATTGGGATAATTACCTAGCCATTTATTTTATTTTATTTTTTTATTTTTTGAGACAGAGTCTCGCTCTGTTGCTCAGGCTGGAGTGCAATGATGCATCTTGGCTCATGCAGCCTCTGCCTCCCAGGTTCAAGTGATTCTCCCACCCTAGTCTTCCAAGTAGCTGAGATTATGTGCCCACCACCACATCGAGCTAATTTTTGTATATTTTTGTAGAGACGGGGTTTTGCCACCTTGGCCAGGCTGTGAACTCCTGACTTCAAGTGATCTGCCTGCCTTGGCCTCCCAAAGTGCTGAGATTACAGGTTTGAGCCACCGTGCCCAGCCCTAGCCATTTATTTTTAAAATAAATTTTATTGTGTATTTTGAGGTTTACAATAATATTATGGGATGCATATGGATAGGAAAATGGTTACTATTGTGAAGCAGATTAACATATCTGTAATCTCACATAGTTACTTTTTTGTGTGTGATAAGTGCAGCTAAAATCTGGTTATTTAACAAAAATCCCTAATCCAATACAATTTTATTAATTTTAGTCCTTATGATGCAGATTAGATCACTAGACTTGTTCATCCTACTCACCTGCTACTTTGTAACCTTTGACTTATGTATCGCCATTTCCTCTCCTCCCACCCAACCCCTGGTAACCACTGTTTTACTTTCTATCTCTATACATTTGAGGTTTTTTTTTTTTTTTTTTTTTTTAAAGATTTCACATATAAATGAGATCAAGCAGTATTTTTTTCTTTCTGTGTCTGGCTTATTTCACTTAGCATAATGTCCTCTGAAGTCCATTCATCTTGTGGCAAATGACAGGATCTCCTTCTTTTCAGTAGCTGAATAGTATTGCATTTTATATATATGTATATATACACAGTTTCTTTGTCTATTCATCTGTTGATGATATTTAGATTGTTTCCATATATTGGCTATTGTGAATAGCCAACCTGGGAGTGCGGATATTTTTATGAGATGGTAAATTCATCTTCTTCGGGTATGTAACACAGAAGAGGGATTGCTAGGTCATATGGTAGTTTTATTTTTTGGGACAGGGTCCCACTTTGGTTGCCCAGGCTGGAGTGCAGTGGTGCAAACTTGGCTCACTGCAGCCTCAACCTCCAGAGCTCAGGTGATTCTCCCACCTCAGTCTCCTGAGTAGCTGTGACAACAGGTATGTACCACTATGCTTGGCTAATTTTTTGTATTTTTAGTAGAGATGGAGTTTTGCCATGTTGCCTAGGCTGGTCCCAAACTCCTAGACTCAAGCAATCAGCCAGCCCCAGCTTCCCAAGGTGCTAGGATTGCAGGCTTGAGCCACCATGCCTGGCCTTAATTTTAATTTCTTTAGGAACCTCCATACTGTTTTTTATTATGGCTGTACCAATCTCCATTCCTACCAACAGCGTACTGGGATTCCCTTCTTCTTACATCACTTAGCCAGTTAGAATCTTGCCAAAAATAAAGAGAATCTCCTGTCTCTGGATTAAGCTTTCAAATGAAATGAAATGAAATGGAAATTTTAGAACACCAAAAAGCAAAAACCAGTTGAAAGGCTTTTATTGTTCCTTTATTCCCTATCTAAGACAATGCTACACAATATTTATATATTACCTTTTATATATTGTATAACTTGCCCAAGTTGAGAGTATCTCAAGTATATGTGTAGTCCACGCTCCCCAGGCTGATATGGCTTACATGGTCTTGCAGCTGAATAGAGTTTGCATACGACCCATAGTCATAGTTCCCTGGCAGTACCGAGTGACTGCTTCAAGGAAGGGGGAGATGGTTTCTGATCTCTCTTAACACTTCCACCAGGCAAATACTGTGTGCATTTTGTCATATTGCATCATAGCTTTCTTAACTTCATGTAAGGTAATTTCACTGGTGACATCCACACACAATTTTATTTCTTCAGTGAAACTGCTAAGGAGCTAAGCACTAAATCCATCGTTTTCTTTTCTTTCTTTTTTTTTTTTTTTTTGAGACAGAGTCTCACTCTGACCCTCAGGCTGGAGTGCAATGGCATGATCTCTGCTCACTACAACCTCTGTTACCCACGTTCAAGTGATTCTCGTTTCTCATTCTGAGTAGCTGGGATTAGAGGTGTGCGCCGATACACCCAGCTCATTTCCGTATTTTTACTAGAGGTGGGGTTTTGCCATGTTGGCCAGGCTGGTCTCAAATTCCTGACCTCAAGTGATCCGCCCACCTCGGCCTCCCAAAGTGCTGGGATTACAGGTGTGAGCCACCGTGCCTAGCCTCCATCTCAGTTTTCTAACAGAATCATTAAATAGCAAGTAAGCATTAACGAAGAAGAGTGTGACTTCTTACAAGTGTTCTGCAAACATTGCACATACTCTTTCCATATTGTAATATACACACACACACACACACACACAGAGTCTGGGAAGGATCACATAAATCCTATCAAAAATTTCTTAATAATCATAATTCGTTAGCTCCATCATCTTACTAAAAGAAAATGAAAACAAATCATTACATGTTAATAATAGAGAATTTGCCTAAAGTTTCCCATAGCAATCTACTAAAAAATTTAAAATATAGTTTTAAAAAAACATAGTAAAGAACAAAGAAGGCCATAGAATGACCCATAATCTCAATACCCAGATATGCTTTTTGACATAAAAAAAAAAGTAATACATTAATAGAAATTCAAATATTCCAATAGCTTTTTAGAAAAAACAGGACACTACATTTAATGCTTTGGTGTACAGTGTGACCCAATTTTAGAGAATGTGTCTGTTGGTGGAGAATGCATCTTTAGAGTTGATGGATTATGTTATTTCCAGACTTTTTTCTTTGTGTATTTTTAATATAGATGATATGTACATATGTAAAATGTATATACTTTTTTGGATTTTTTTTCACTTAATATTATCATGTAAACATTACATTAATGCTTTTTAAAAGTAATGATTATCTTTTTAATGTAACTTATTTAATTAAATAAGATTTAATTTAAATATTATATTGTCATTAGCTTAGCCATTTTCCTACAGTTGTTTCCAGTGTTTGCTCTTATAATTAATATTTTTTCCCAAGTCAAACTGTATCCAGCTTTATTAAAGATACTTTTCATAAACAATTATGATATTTCAGGCAGGACATGGGCAGACCATCGCTAATAGCATACAACAACGTTCAAACTTCCTCCTTCAGTGGACCATCAAAATCAGAAAGCCACTATAAAAACCAATGAAATCTTTGATGCTCTGAATAGGGAAAGTTTCAACTGACGGTTGACATTCCACATTTAGCATGTTATTTAACACATTTTTACAAACAGACCCTGACTTTCAGGAAATGAAATGAAAATGGCAGAATATATCTGAAGATCCACCATCTACAAATGGAACTGCCACTCAGATTGACGTTGTTTCCCCACGTCAATCAATCCAGATTCAGAGACATTCTATTAGTGACATATACCCCTTTCTCCCTGTAAAATAAAGTGTTTAGTGTCCTAACAACATAACTTTAAAAAAAGTAAAATAGCATTCTGCATTTTTATAAAACTTCATAAAAAATCGTATTGAAACCTCCTTTGCAAAAATTATAACAGTGAGAGAAATCTAACCTGACTCCAACTTGCTTCTAACCTCACATGCTAACTGCCTTTGCTCTTCCTGGGCATAGGCCAAGCTAACTATAGGAGGAATTTAGGGTATAGTTTTGTTTTGTTGTTGTTGTTGTTGTTTAGACAGAGTCTCATTCTGTCACCCAGGATGGAGTGCAGTGGTACCATCATAGCTCACAGCACCCTCAACCTCCTGGGCTCAAGTGATCCACCCACCTCAGACTCCCAATTAGCTGAGACTCAGGCATGTACCAACACACCCAGATAGTTTTTAAATTTTTTGTAGAGATGGAATCTCACTGTATTGTCCAGGCTGGTCTTGAACTCCTGGGCTTGAGTGATCTCCCCACCTTGATGCCCCAAAGTGCTGGGATTACAGACATGAACCACTTCACCCAGCCAGCCTATAGTTTAACTTTGAAGAAAGGATGGTAACAGTCCCTCCCCAAACTGACCCCATCTGGGGAGTTAAACTGCCTTTGTAAGGCTAATGAAAGGCCACAAGGTTAAGATTATGGGAGGGACCTGAATTTTGCTAAAATGTGTGCATGGTTAAACAATTGTTCCCTAGCTTGGTTTTTCTATAATTCTTTACTGCTCAGAGGTGATGTAGCTAGAGATCACAGGATTTGTAACTTCCTCAGTTGCTCCTATAGATAATTTACTATTGTGGAACCTCAGATTAGTTTTTGAGATATTTTTCAGACTTTTGCATTCTGGCAACTAGCTGAGTCCACCTGGACCTGTGACTCATACCAGGGAACTAACTGAACCAGTCCTGTGACTCCCCACCCAGAGATTGACTCAACAAATAAATATTGTTTTGGACATGCCTATGATTCGATTCCATTCTCAGCTAATCAGAAGCACTCATTCCCTAGCCCCCTGCCTGCCAAATTGTGCTTAAAAACCCTAGCTTCCACGCTTTCAGGGAGGTGGATTTGAGAAACGTCTCCTGTCCATCCACTCAGCTGCCTTGCAATAATTGAACTCTTTCTCTACTGCAACACTGCTGTCTTATTGTATGGGCTTTTCTGTGCAGTAAGCAAGAAGAATCCATTGGGCTGTAATAGTATTTCAAACTGGATAGTCACCAGAAGTACAGATTTATAAAAAATGCACACACTTCACTTGAGATTTCCAGTACCTTCAGTTTTCTGTGCCCTCTCTATTCTGACATCTTCATTTTTTGCAGGGTTATTCACCTCTTTGTCAGCATTGGCTCTTCTCCCCTTTGGATACTTTCTCTCCCTTCTTTGTAGGGGCATTTTTAGGCATCAGCTCTGGCTTTGTGAGAGCATGCTTAGCAGACAGCCTATGGATCTTCCCTGTGGTTTGTCCTTTGTCTTGGCCTTATCTTCTTTGGCATTCCCTTCAGCCATTCTCTTGGGCATTGGTGGCAATGGTGGCAACATGTAGGTGCTGGCTGTGGGGATGCAGTGGTGAATGGGGATGCAGTGGCACATGGGCTTTGGTCAGCCTAGGGGTCGTTCTTACCTCTTTTTCACACTGTTCCTATAATTAATGCTTTTTGCTTTTTTTTTTTTTTTTTTTTGAGTTGGAGCCTCACTCTGTCTCCTAGGCTGGAATGCAGTAGTGCGACCTCAGCTCACTGCAGCCTCTGCCTCCCAGGCTCAAGTGGTTCTCCTGCCTCAGCCTCCTGAGTAGCTGGGATTACAGGCATGCACCACCATGACCGGCGTGGGATTTCACCATGTTGGCCAGGCTGATTTTGAACTCCTGACCTGAGGTGATCCACCTGCCTCGGCTTCCCAGAGTGCTGGAATTACAGGTGTGAGCCACTGTGCCTGGCCTCACAGTCTTCTTAATCTGGATTCAACATTCATATTCACAAGATAATTGTAGGGGAGAAAAGATGCTTCCTTTTACCTTTCCAGGTTCTGTGACTGCCTGAGAATTAAATTGAGAGACATATTAACAGGAGAAGAACAGTTTTAATTACATACATATTCATGGGAATTTCACAAAAATATGAAACTCAAGGAGGCAGACAGATGATTGAGACTTACATATCATCTTGAGCTACAGAAAGAAATAGGGGTTTAGAGGCTTCTGTTGAGGGGGAGGCAAATCATGGGAAAGGGAGAAGAGGAAATGTGTGGCATACAAAGTTTGCCTTATGCAGCTAAGTCTTTCAGACACAGAGAGTAGCTCTCTTCCTTATACAGACATTTTTACTAATGAAAATTTCCTTTGTAAATATAAAATTCCTTTACAAAAGGGAAATTTAGACTTTATTTTGGATAGTTGAGGGGGAGGTAAAGAGCTTTCCTGGAGTCAGCTGGTTCTCAATTGCCTTTAGCTCAAAATAATCAATATGCCAAAATGGCATATTTTGGGCTATGCCCAACCTGTTCAAAGGGCAACTGTATTACTATGATCAATTTTTTACTCATAGAACATGTCTGACACCAAATATGTGGTTTTTCCCCCGTGCCAACCATCAAATTCTCCTTCTCTCCAGAAACCAACTGGGTGTCCAACAATTCAATTCAATTCAATTCTGACACTAGCTACCTGGTGTTAGTATCAGATGGCACAGGTGAAAGGGCCCAGTCTGACAAGTACTTATTTCAAAGTACTGAATCCACAAGACTTCAGATGCCAATCACAAGTCTGAGCCTCCCATATTTCTGCCTTAATGGCTATAAATTGGGGGTTTCCATGACCCTCTTCTCAGGTTCAATAATTTGCTAGAAGGGCTTGTAGAACTAAGGAAATCATTATACTTAACATTTAGCAGTTTATTTATAAAGGATATTATAAAGAATAAAGATGAACAGGCAGAGGACAAGATGTGAAACAGGAGAGATGTGCAGAGCTCCAGTGCCCTCCCTGGGCACCCCACCCTTTCAGTGTAACTGCAGCAGTTCCATTGCCCTCTGTGTACTGCAAGTCACTAGGCAGAGATACCAGGGTGCAGCAGAGAAAGAGGTTTAATTGTAGGGTCTCCAAACTAGGAGATGGGAGGAAACCTCAACTCCATCTCCCCAAGGAGTCTAGGGCTAGGGATTTTGTGGGGTTTTTGTTTTGAGCTGGAGTTTCACTCTTATCCCCAGGCTGGAGTGCAGTGGCACCATCACAGCTCATTGCAACATCCACCTTCTGGGTTCAAGTGATTCTCCTGCCTCAGTCTCCAGAGTAGCTGGGATTACAGATGCCTACCACTATGCCCAGCTAATTTTTGTATTTTTAGTAGAGATGGGGGTTTTAGCATATTGGCCAGGCTGGTCTTGAACTCCTGACTTCAGGTGACCCACTCGCCTGGGCCTCCCAAAGCCCTGGCATTACAGGCGTTTGCCACCACACCCAGCCTGGGGCTAGAGATTTTAAGGGTTTTAGAGTAGGCTTAAGTGTGAAGATTATTGATTGGTTGAAGAATGCAGGGTAAAGTCATGGGACAGAAAGATAAAGAAGCTGTATTCTCATGCTGATTCTATTTCTCTGTGGGGGTCTTCAAACTGGTTGGTGTCAGCGGTGTCACTGGAGTTTGGGATCTGAAAACATCTTAAGCAACCTTTAAACAAAAGCCATATGATTCTAACATTGGTGATCCTGTCTATAGGAACAATGGGGATGCAAATGGACAGTATCCAGTGCTATTGACTTTCAGCAACAAGGAAGTGAGCCAAAGTGCAGCCTGATTAAGGCTTAATTATAATGAAATTTCTGCCCAGAACTCAGTATGAAATCCTTGTCAACCCTGTGGGGATGGCTTCATCAGCGGCTCAGTGTGTTTGCCAACTCAGAAGCTCTCTGAAGCCCTTTGTTTAGGGTTTTTATGGAGGTTCTATTGCATAGGCGTAATTGCTTAAATCACTGGCCATTGGTGATTTACTCAATCCAGCTTTTCTCTCCCTTCCGTCAGTGGTGAGTAGGGCTGAAAGCTCTAATCCTCTAATCACATGTTTGGTTCCTCTGGCAACCAGTGCCCATCCTGAAGCTATCTATGGGCTTCCAGCCACCAGTCATCTAATTAATATAATTCATGTACCCTCAAAAGGAGCGTGTTGTAAATAACAAAAGATGCTCCTG